GGTGTTCCATAGGATTCAAGTCAGGAGTCTGCAGGCCAGCCCATTACAAGATTTTTAGTGTCATGTAACCATCTCGCCACAGGCCGTGCCGGATGAATAGGTGCTCGATCGTGTTGACAGATGCAATCGTCATCCCCAAATCGCTTTTAACAGTGAGAAGTAAGAAGGTTTTTAAAACATCAACGAAGGCCTGTGCCGAGATAGTGCCGCACAAAAAACAAGGGGTGCAAATGTCGACCATGAAAAACAAGGCCACACCATTACACCATTTTGGACGGTCCGGATACTTTTCATCACATATTGTAAATACATGTCAACGGATTCAATATCTTCCATCATGGCACATGATATGTCTTCCCGACACAACCGCCTATTGTGAATCTCATTGTGTATTTATGTACTTGAACATATACATAAACGCACAGAGGAGAGACAGAAGAAATTTGAATTACTATAAAACAACAATCATTGTGCTCAAAACTCTTGAAACGTCTGTCTGTGGAATCCTTCTCCGCGGACTTGTATTCTCGCAGTGGCGTTGCCGGAAATTGTCAAAACCACTCAACATTCAGGTTCCAAGAAGGCCGACGCGTTGCCGTGGAATAAGCCGCCCATCGCACGAACAGGGGAGGGGGTGCTTCTCCCTTTGACAACTCAGGCAGTGAGATAAAGCGGTTCGGAAATGAAGTTCTCACCTTCCAAAAACCTCCGAGAGAAATGTTTAGGCGGTGTTAGGCTACGACACGACGGAAGATGGTGAGAACCGTGATTGGGCTGGGTTGCGAGGGAAAGGTACAATCTGTTGTTGTATTCTATTTTCTTTCTTGTAACCTTTATCATGTGAGAAGTCAGTTAACCAAGATTTCGGAAGACATTATCCATTAACTATGTACTAGTCACACCCTTGAGATTTTATTGGCTAAGAGATTGAGATATTGCCTGGCTCGCACACACAATGCGGACAATAATCAAATATTGAAGACATGGACTAGATATATTTGATCGTTGAACTAAAGATACTAAATGTCTTTTATATAGGTTCTACGTTCATCTTCGCAGGGGATGAAACATGACGGTGAAATAAATTCCTTTTCAATAATAATAATAATAATGATAATAATAATAGTAATAATAATAATAGTAATAATAATAGTAATAATAATAATTATTATTATAATAGCCGATCAGAAGGCCGAACGCAGTAGTGGTTTCGGACCAGAAGATCGCGGGTTCGAGTCCGGCCTTCGGCATAGGCGTATTTGTGTATGTCTGTATGAGTCTGTCGTTCTTTCACCCCTCATTATTATAATCATTTCATCTTTCATACCCCGAGGGCGAACAACCGTGGGGAATAAAAATCGGACTCAGCTAAATACTGGTCCCCAATTAAAGTTACATGCACCTGCCACCGCGATAATTATACTGAGCCACGGTAAATGCAGGATGCATGCATGCGTGGTCCTAGTCGATCGATTCAGGAGCAAAGTAATAGTAATAATAATGTAAAAACAATGTTATGTTTATTGGTTATCACTGGGAAACATGAGACAAGTATGACGATGCGTGGTACAGCGCAGGATCTGTTAAAAACATGATTAAGCAAGCGAGGTTTTAGGCAAAGGCAACATGGCCGCGGCAATACGTCGAACACGATCAAGAAGAAAGAAAAACGTTCGAGTCACAAAGATAACCAGCGCGAGGCGCGGTGGAAAAATCTGTTTGCTTCCCTAACAACTCATCAGCGTCAGTTGATATAAAGGCAGCGCTTTTCGCAACGGTGGAACAAGGACTCGGAGAAGCGGCGGTGGCAGAAGTCACAGAGATTAGGCGGCGATGGCAACCTCTAAGCCGTCAGATAACGCGAAGAAAGGGGTCGCTCCGTTTCTTACAGGGCTCTGGGGAGGGCGGGCTGCGCCG